GAAGACACCATCCTTATATTCACACACACACACACACACACACACACACACACACACACCCTCTTCTTTTTCCCTTCTGTTTCAACACAGGAGCTGACATTTTCATCAAAAGAGAATTTTCCACCTGGATTTTGCCACCCTCCTTCTCCCTTCTTCTGGGACTGTGTGTTTCTAATTATCCCTTCTTAGTCTTAGATTTTCTCTCTCTACTTCTCCACTAGCTTTTAAATACAGTCAAACCACCTCCTTAGACAAAAACAAAAGCCTACTTCTTCAACCTCACATCCCCTCCAGCAACCACCTGCCTTTCTTACTTCCACTGCCGTCCTCAAAGGGGCTGTCTGCACTCTGCCTCCCGTCCTCACCTCCACTCACCTTTTCTGACAGCTTTGGTGAGGTATAACTGATACAATAAACCTGACATGTTGGAAGTGTATAATTTGGTAAGTTCCTCCATATGTATACACCAGAGAAACCACCACCACGAAGACAGTGAACACCCCTGCAAGTCTCTTTGTGCCCTTTTATAAACTTCATGCTCCATCACTCACAAAAACACACCTGATAAAGGTGCCAGAGAGCTGCAGCTCATTAAATCCGATGGAAAAGGGCTAGCTGCCTCTTAGCTCGGCAATGCCTGTCCAAACCAGACTCACGGGCTTATTCCCCTACCCTGCTCTTCTTCTACCACCACCGTTCAAGTGCTAGTGCAAGCCAAGAGCCTAGGAATTGCTCTTTTTTGTTATTGTTCATCTTTACCGGAGGATATTTTTCCCGTTGATTTTTAGAAAGGGGGGGGGGGAGCGAGGGGGAGCGAGAGAGAAACATCGATATGAGAGAGACACATCTATTGGCTGCTTCCTGCATACACCCCGACCAGGGCCGGGGCTGGGGATTGAAACTGCCACCCAAGTACGTGCCTTTGACTAGGAATCAAACCCTTGACCCTTCAGTGCACAGGCTGACACTAGCCACTGAACACACCAGGCAGGACAGGAATTGCTCTTGATACACTTAGGAAATGCTTTAGCAAGTACCATCCATCCCTTGATTATCTCTCTTCCCTTCTCCCCATCTCTATCATCACCACCTTAACTCAAAACTTCATCACTCACCCACACCATAGCAATGGTCTTCTAACTTCACCTCCAAGCTGCAGCCAGAGAGATCTTTGTTGAAAGTGTGATTGCGTCATCCCCACCCCCCACTTAAGATATAGACAAAGACTGAAATCCATAACACAGCCTTCAAGGCCTGCGAGGTCTGGCTTCTCCTCCTCTCCAGCCCTACTTGGCCCTTGGACTCTCACCTGACTGGCCTCTTTTCAGTACCTTTAACCAACTGGGTTTCCCCATCACAGGGCTGTGCACGTGTTATTTCTTGTGCAGAATGTTCTTCCCATTCATGCTTCAGACCTTGGTTTAATGATCACTTCCTCAGGGAAGCCCTTCCGGACTTTCTCTAGTTGATTGAATTGCCTTGTCACATCTTCACTTAGCACTCTGTACCTCACTTTGCAGTATGTGCCACAGTTGTGACTTGATTTTCGGTGTGCGAATGTTCCCCTTACAAGAACATTTCCCTTTCTAAATTCTTCAGAAAGGACTCAGCATGGTGTTCTCGATGCCTGGCCTAATGGACCTAGTCCGCAGCATCAGTACTAGGTAGGTATTAAATTAATGAGCATAAAGTGAGCATCTCCTGTGTGCTATGTTCTTCTGGATATCTGCTTGCATTTAATCCTCACAACAATCTTGGCAGGTGCATATTTTGCTCTTTATAGATGAGGTCATCAAGGCTCAGAGAAGCTAGGAAACGTACCCATGGTCACACAGTCAGAGGTAATTGAGCCTGAGCAAGAAGAACCAGGTTAGTGTTATGCCAGAGTTCCTATCAGTTTCCCCAGCTGCCTGGACGGGGGAGAAAACATGCTCATACTCTCTCTGTTCTCTGAGGGTCTGTGCGTACCAGGTGCTCTATAGCATCACCCCAGTTCATTCTCAGAATCAGCCTGTCAGGTGGGTGTTTACCCTTCTCCAAATGCAGATACAGAGAGATTACGTGATACAGAGAGGCTGAGATACAGAGGGATGATGCAAACAGCCCAAAATTACTCAGCAAAATCGCAGAACTGGGTTTCTAACCTAAGGTACCGGGCTCTTTTCATTGCACCAGGCATGATGGAACAGGTAAGTGACAACATAGCCAGATGAAGGGTTTTTCTGCCCTCATCAAAGGACCGAACTGGCTTCTGGGCATCTTCCCTGACTCACACTTGCCAACTTCCATCATCCTGGCTTTGAGAAACACTTGTGCCTGGAACTGCTCTGTTGACCCAAGATCCTGGCATCAGAGACTTTCCAACCAAGGAGGAAGCAAAGGTAGGAGCCATGCCACATCCCTGGTGGCAAGATGGAAGAAGGCAGCTTGATCCTGGAGTCGACCTTTTACTTCAGCTTAGAAAGAAATTGTTCTTCCCGTGGCTTTTCAAAGACAGTTTATGTCAGCCGTTACCCTCCCTCCAGGACACAGTGTGGAAGCACAGGTGGGCGGGGCCCTGGCTCACAGTGCTAGGTGCCTGTGGGCTCTGGGCAGAATCAGCCAGTTCCAGCTGGATAGAACCCAGAGCCCTTGGGCACGGGAGCTGCTTGGGCCTGAGCCTGCCTGTCTGACGGGCTGGTAGGTGGGAGAGGCAAGCCAGCTGCAGAGGCCTGCGTGAAGGGTGGGGTTCCTAGGAAGGCTGAGTGACAGAACCTCCATCTGGGCCTCCCCATAGGGGACCCACTAATGCCATCATGGTTTCCTTTGCTCATGCCTTTATTGAAGAGATAACCGGATTGAGCAATGTTTCTCAAATTATTTGCAACACATCTCAGATCCATCGTTTTGTATTCCTGCACTTCAGTGTCAAAGCAGTGCCAAATTGCTGCAAAATGTTCCTAAATGCTTACTCAGAATTGTGGTATTTAACTCACTGTGGACTGCTAACAGAGTTTGCAGACCAGCACAGGCCATGGACCACACTCTGAATAGCACTGAAATAGGCTGATTTAGGGGAGGGGTGCATGGGGAGACCCAAGAATGAAAAAGACCTTGTCTGCTGCTCTGGAGGAGCACAGGTTCTGGAGACAGCACGTGGGTTGGAATTCTGCCACACCGGACACTAGCTGGACAGCCTGGGGCAGGGCACTTCTGCAGGCTGAGCCTCCGTTTTTTTATCTGGAAAATGGAGGTACGTAGTATAAAAGATATCTGTTGTTTCTTTCTTCCCAAGGTCTGGACAAAGAGCATCTGACTTCCCTTTGTGTTTGGGTGACCACTTGCCTTGACTTCAGGGCTGGTTCCGTAACCTAAGAGTGGCCAGTTAGCAGTTTCAATCATCCTGTGCATGTTTCCAAGAGATGGGCACATATCCCAGGAGAGCCACTAAAAGTCTATCTGGGGTGCCATGCTGGATGTGTCAGGGAAGAGATGCTCTTTTTCTGCTGGGGTTGCTAAGCACAAGGAAAGTCTTTCTAAAAATAAAGCCAGTGTAGAAGACAGCTGAGTCAGAGTTTGGAGAGAAAGGCTCCTGGTAATAGTGTCTGAGTGCCTGGGTCCCGATGAGCTTCCGCCATCCCCTCCTTTCCTTCTCCCTGTCACTGTCCTTGGCCACACTCCATCACCTCTCCTCCTCCTCTCTGGGCTCCCTGCTGACATATACATGTGTCCAGGACGGGTAAGGTCAGAGAACGCAATCTGAGGTCAAAAGGTAGAGACCGGCCATGAAACTTGGGATAAACCATTTCGTGTCTCTGGATCTCGGTCTTCTCATTGGTCAAATGTGGACGTTGCCTATCTCAGGCTCTCAGGGTTCTCAGGAACTTGGCACAGCCATAAGCAAACATAATTTAGAAGCTTAAAGAGCTCAGCATTCACCCAGGACTGTTGCTGGCATTTTACTGACTTTCTGAGGCCATGTGACACATGCAGGTAGATATAGTGTAGAGAAGGGGCTTGGTCAAAAAGATCTGATCTCCACTTACTAGCTGTGCCACGGTGCCTATGGCTCGGCCTTTCTAAGTCCTTGTTTCCCCATTTTTAAAAGTGATAATGCAGATAAAGCACATGGTACAAAGTAGGTGGTTTAAAATGGACTTTATGCCCTAGTCAGTTTGGCTCCGTGGTTGTTCTGTGGCAGCAGGATCGAGGGACAGATCAGATTTGGTGAATAAATATTCTGATTTCCTTGTCCCCCTGTGGGACAATTCTGAAGCATGTTCTGCACCATCTCTCAGAAGGTCCCCAGTGGAACTGAGCCTAGTTACCCAAGTGGTAATTTGTTCATCTTTTATTGGCTTTCCTCCCCTCTCTGTCTCTCTTCCCCACTCCTTCACTATGCTTTCTGGGGACATCCTCTCAAATACTTGCACCTAAATCCTTGATTCAGCATCTGCTTGGCAGGGTCCCCCAATTAGGACACTTTCAAAACTCAAGTCCCATCATACCCTTCCATGCACCCTTAACTATAGCCAACTTAAATTATAAACTAAATGCCTCATGGATTCATTCTTTTGTGGTTTTGTTCTTTCTGTGCCTGTTCCCTAGAAGCCCTTCTGGCTTTCATCTCTTTTTTGTTTGTTTGCTTCTAAGGACCAGCCCAGGTTCCATTTATTTCATGATAAGCGCAAAGAATGATTGCTTGGCCGTTTGAACTCCCAGAGCGTCCACTAAATTCCCCTGGTGTGATCTCCGTCCAGGCTTCTTGACCTAGTGGAATCTGCTGACAGTCTTCTGGGGCCCCCACCACTCCTGAGGTTCAACCACGACTAGACCTTATCACCCAGCACTGCTCCAGCTCTGGAATTTTAAACTCCAGGGGATGCTGATATGGGAGAGGGGAAAATTCCCCCTCTTTTTCCTTCTCAGTTCTCTGGCTGGTCTAATCTCACCACATTTACTTCCACCAGATCCCACAGAGAAAGGGAGCAGGGGGAGACTAACATAGCAAGAACTCTTACCTTCTTCAGTTTGCATGAGACGCCCCAAGATCTCTTCGTTTGCCACAGTGCCAGTGTGAACAGTGTCCAGCTAGTAAAGTCTCCTGCTGGCTCACCAACTGTGGGGAAGGGATATTTCCCCTCTTCTGGCTGGTCTAACAATCAAATAGACATGAGACAGATTAACAAGAGAAAATAACCAAGTTTAATTACTTATGTTCATATGGGGGTTCCGTAAGAATTTGGGGCCCAAGGACAGATCAGGCAATTAAGGCTGATCTGCCATCTTGAAACCAGGAGAAACCAGGCTTGTGGTTTGGGACCGCAAACGGAAGGAAGATAATCCACGTGGAGTTGGAAAAACACATGTTTGTTAAACAAATGTTTGCTGGGCCATCTTTAACAGGGGGACACTGGAGGACTTTGATCAAAGAGGCCTTGCTACCTGTCATCTACTGGTTCGTAATAAAGTATGGTTATGTATGATGATAGCTTCCTTCCTGGAGCAGGTCCTTTCTAAATTTGTTTAGGCTGTTAGGGAGATGGTCAATGGTTTTTCCTGAGTCCTCTAGTTCTTAAAAGTAACTTGCTTAAAATAGCCAATATCCAAAGAGGCATATTTTGGGGTGGCAGTGTCTGCTCCCCCTCACCACAGATATTTCCCCTCTCATACTCTTCCTCCAGGGACATCAGCTCTGTGAGGTTATCAAGGTACCCAATCTTCTCCCTGTCTCTTGGCCCCTTCCATTCCTCCAATTGTTAAAAACAAACAAACAAAAGAAAAAACAGTTCTGGGTCAGTTCACTTATCAGCTTCCCCAGTTCCCTCTCTACTCCTGACCTTAGAAGAAGTGCAAAGTGGTTAAGGGCATCCACAGGATTTACCAGGGTGAGAACCCTGGCTCTACTACATACTTGTGTAACCTTGGGCAAATTACATAAGTTTTTGGTCTGCAGCCTCTTCATCTGAAAAAGAGAAAAATAATAAAACATATCACTCAAGTAGAGGGTTCTGTTTCTATAACAAGATATGGCAAACCCTCAATAACTTGATTATGTTGACATTGCCTTTGTATCTGCATGGCTACTTCATTGGGTCGGTGGGGGGATTAAATAAAATAAGGCGCTTAGAATTATGCCAGGCACAGGATAGCCACTCCAAAAATGTTGGCTGCTATCATTATTACTGAATTTGTTTCTTGGGCTACCATAATGAATTACCACAAATTGAATGGTTTAAAACCACAGAGATGTATTGTTTCATAGTCCTGGAGGCTAGAAGTCTTAAAATAAGGTGTCTGCTGGGTTGGCTCCACATATACAATATATATATATATATATTTTTTTTTAAATATATTTTATTGATTTTTTACAGAGAGGAAGGGAGAGAGATAGAGAGTTAGAAACATCGATGAGAGAGAAACATCGACCAGCTGCCTCCTGCACATCTCCCACTGGGGATGTGCCCGCAACCCAGGTACATGCCCTTGACCGGAATCGAACCTGGGACCTTTCAGTCCGCAGGCTGACGCTCTATCCACTGAGCCAAACCGGTTTCGGCTACAATATATTTTTATTAATTTCAGAGAGGAAGGTAGAGGGAGAGAGAAATAGAAACACCAATGATGAGATACAATCATTGATCAGCTACCTCCTGTGCACCCCCTACTGGGGATCAATACTGCAACCCAGGCATGTGCCCTAACCAGGAATCAAACCCATGACCTCCTGGTTCATAGGTTGATGCTCAACCACTGAGCTACACCAGCCAGGCTGGGTTGGCTCCTTTTGAGCCTCTGAAGGAGAATTGATTCATGCCTCCCACCTAGCTTCTGGTGGCTGCTGATCACTGGTTTTTCTTGGTTTATAGCTGCATAATTCCAATGCCTGCCTTTGCATTGACATTGCCTTCTCCTCTGTCTCAGTCTCAAATCCCTCTGACTTTCTCTTATAAAGACACTTGTCATTATACCTAGGGCCTACACTAAATCCAGGATGACTTCATCTTGAGATCCTTAACTTAATTACATCTACAAATACTTTTCTAAATAAGTTCACTTTCATGGGTTCCAAGGGTTAGGACTTAGATATAGCATTTTGGGGATCAGCGTTCAGCCCACGACAATGGTCATTACAAAAACTTTCACTGGAGAGGTGAATTAAAGCCAGATTGCAAAGGATTAAGAGACAAAGAGGAGATGAGAAATGTAGATAATTATTGGAGAGACTTGGTTAAGAAGGAGTGCGGATGGAGAGGGAGCTGGTAGACACTTACCTGAGCCTCTTGGAGGGAAGAAGAAAAAAAAGATGGCAGAAAAGGAGGACGAGCTTGAAGATACAAGAAAGAGAAAAAGATGCAGTGGAGCAAGGAGCAGGCCCCAGAGCAGAGTCAAGGCTGAATGCCGAATGGGTGACTCAGTAAAAACGAGCTAGATGGGCCAGCCACAGACTGACAGCAGCCACAAAACAAGTCAGAACAGAGAAGAAAAAGAGTGAGCCAAGGAGCCACCAAAGACAAGATAAAACATAACCAACCAAACTCTGGAAAGGTCTGCGACTTAAAAGATCTGAGCCAGAGATCACCTCTTGAGCAGTTTAAAAACAGTTCCTCCAGTTTCTCATCTGAAGCTCCCAATACTGCTGGAGGGCAAGCAGAATTATGACACCCCTTGGGTGGAGAAAGAAACCGACACCCAAAAGGCCTAGGGGTTAAACAGGTAGCTGGGGTTACCAAAGGACACGCTGAGCCTCCAGCTGAGGCAGGGAGTCCAGGGAAGGCCTGGGGACCCCCTCTCATGGAGGCCCCACCCAGCAGGAGGCACACTTTCGTACTGTTGCTCACATTCCTTTTGCACTCTCCTGCCTGGGCTTCTAGGAGATGGGTCTTCCCTGGTTGTCAACCTCTTGGATCGTTCTCGGGACCCTTTCCAGAGTACCTCTCCTTCCTCCAACCCTTTACAGATTCAAAACCAATGGATTCACCTTATTCCCTCCAAAACTGGCTCTTCCTCCTGTATCCTTTACTGGATGATCAACAACCACCAGCCACAAATCTGCCTCTGCCTGTCCCAAACATCCTGTCAATCACCAAATACTGTCTCCTGCCTCCTAAATACCTTATGAGCCTGCTCCCTCTCTCCATCCCAAGGCCTCGTCGCCCTGTCTTACCTGAACCCTGCAATAGGCTCCCGACAGGTCTCCCTGCCTCTTGGCTTCTCCAGTCCATCTTCCAAACTACTACTCCAGGATCTTCCTAAACCACAAAGACGATGTTCTTACTCACCAGTTCAAAGATTTCTGCTGGCTTCCCACCTCTGTGGGGGAAAGCACAAACTAACTTTCATAGCCCTTTGTGATCAGCCCCCTGCCATAGTCTCCGGCCTCATTAACCCTGAACATATCCCGCCTGCATTGGCTTTCCCAGTCTTGCCTCTACAGTCTTCATTCCTCTCTGGCTCTGAGACTCATCACAGTAGCTCAGGTGGGCATGGATATTTTTCCCATCCCACAAACAAGGAGATGGAGACTCACAGGGACCATGCAGCTATGATAAACAGGACTAGAACTTGAACCCAACCCTAAATGACTATCCCTGGGCCAGTGTTCTCCCAGCCACCCCCACCCCCACCCCCCTTTGAGAAGGGATAAAGAGGGCACTTCCTGAGAAAGGTTAGGCCCCAGGAAGCCACCTATCACCTATCACCTCATTCACAACCCTGGAAGGTAAGTAATACGCCTCCCATATGTGAAGGAGGAGAGTGAAGCCCAAAGAGTCTAAAGACCTTTCTGAGGTGACATAGTGAGGCAAGTCCAAGGGGACCCACAATGTCCAAGAACAGATTCACCCTGTGGAGGGCTCCCCTACCCCCACTCCCTGCCACACTCATCTCAGAGGGCTCAGGGTTATGGGTTGAAAATGATGTGAAGGCACATAGGGGAAAACTCGACAAGGACACCAGAGGCGACCAGAGGTGAGCCAGAGGCCTGGAACAGACCCTTCCCCCACACATTCAGAAGGAACCCACCCCGCCAATACCTTGATTTCAGACTTCTAGCCTCCAGAACTGTGAGGCAATAAACTTTTGTGTGTTTTTTAAGCCACCCTGTTTTTTATAGCAGCACCAGTAAGTGAATACAAAGAAGTAAACGGCCACCCATCCCAAAAAGAAGAGATAGGATAAAACAAATTATATTTGTGATTTTGAAATTTCTAGCCTGAGCCCTGGCTGCTGTGGCCCAGTTGGTTGGAGTGATGTCCTGTATAACTGAAGGTCGTGGGTTCAATTACAGGTCAGGGCACATACCTAGGTTGCAGGTCAATCCCCCGTCGAGGCGTGTACAGAGAGCAGCACATCGATGTTTTCTCTCACATCGATGTGGTGTGTGTTTTCTTCCTCTCTCTCTCCCTCTCTCTAAAATCAATAAGCATATCCTCAAGTGAGGATTTTTAAAGTTATTTTATTTTTCTAGCCCTGGCTGTGTAGCTCAGTTGTTAAGAGCATCATCCCAATATGCCAAGGTTTCAGGCTCGATCTCTGGTCAGGGCACATACTAGTACAAGAAGCAACCAATCTATACTAATAATAGCCTAGATGGCCGTCATGTCCTCATGCCGTGAAGCCCTTACGCCGTCACAAGGAGGCTGCGTGCGTAGCAGGAGTGTGCGGGTGGGCAGGGACTTGACGCTGCGTGCGCTGTGGGACCTGGGGGTCCCGCAAGGCCTGGGGGTCCCGTGGCCCCTCATGGCGTGGAGGCGGGACCCCTGGCTTCGGCTTACCTCTTTGCATTAATCCATTGAGGAGTCCCGGATGGGTGGGCAGGGCCTACCTCCTTAGGGTGATCAATCACAGGGCTCCCGCACTATGAGAGGGCACAGGCCAGGCTGGGGGACTCCCCTCAAGTGTATGAATTTCATGCACCGGGCCTCTAGTAAATGCATAAATAAGTGGAACAACAAATCAATGTTTCTCTCTCTCTCTCTCTCTCTCTCTCTCCATTCTTCACTCTCTTTAAAATCAACTTTAAATATTTCTAATGTTTTTATTATTACATTCATTTATTGAAGAAAATTTGGAAAGGATCCGAAAGTATAAAGAAGAAAACTAGCCCGGCCAGAGTGGCTCAGTGGTTCAGTGTTGACCTATGCACCAGGAGGTCAGGGTTTGATTCCCAGTCAGGGCACATACCCTGGTTTCGGGCTCAATCCCCAGTAGGGGGCATGTAGGAGGCAGCTGATCAATGTGTCTATCTCACTCTCCCTCTAAAAAATGAATAAAGACGTATTTTTTTTTTTTTTAAATAAAACTAAAAGCACACTTCCTCTTTGGAAGTGGAATCTCTGAGGGAAAGACAACTCATGACCTCTCATTTCACACTTAGGAAATTTGGTGAATTTCCCCCCTCCTCCAATGCAGTTACTAGAATCTCCCTTGCAAAGCTGCTGTGATGCTTGAATGAGAAACTGGGTCCAGTTCTTAGCACAGGGTAGCGCACCCAGCCCAGCACCATAAATGGCAGATATTGTGCCTATTTATATAGACATTGCATAAAATTGGAATCATGCTATTTTCACTTCCCCTTTTTCACTTACCAGCATATCTTGAATGCTTCCTCATATCTTTCATATTCACCAAGTGCCTAATATTTCATTTCTGCACAGCTTTCCATCTATGAATGTAGTATAATCTATTTACCCAATTTCCTGTCATTGAACATTTAGGGAATTTCCAACTTTCCCTTGTTATAAATAAGGCAGGGATAAATAATCTTTGATTTTAGGGTATATTTTGGAAGTTGAATTGCTAAATCACAGGATAACTCTTTTAGCCCTGGCCAGTCTGGTTCAGTCCTGTGCACCAAAAGGTGGGGGTTCAATTCCCGGTCAGGGCACATACCCAGGTTATGGGTTCGATCCCAGTCAGGGTGCCTGCAGGAGGCAGCTGCTCCTGTTTCTCTCTCATTAATAGTTCT